GTACTTGTATACTGAAGTTGGGTATACCAATGCCAAAAACAACTAGCCTGTTTGATTGTTAGTTGGGGGAATGAAAATCCACCAATTCATTATTGATATCACGTAACCAAAAAATATTGGTTGATTATTGATTCACCTAATTTTCAACTAGCTGCTAAGGCATCTGGAAGGAAGACACCACTCCAGAATGTACATAAGAAATGTGAAACAGGAAAATGCTTAAAAGTAACTAACAAAAGTCTCTCACATCCTCCAACATCAATTATATAAATAAAAGAGCAATTACTCTCAAGTTCTCTTTGATTGCTTTGTAGGCAATGAATAATTCTTCACCAGTGGCTACCAATCTCAGCCTTTCCCCTTTCAGTAAAAATCTTTGTGTGGACTTAAATTCAAATTTTCTACAACACAAATACATCATCAGATTGCTCCAGGGGCCCTGCAGACATTTTCTTAGTAGCAGAAGAACACAACTAATGCCCCACTTACTAGGTGTTTGAGGATGAAAAGTCACTAGTCTGAAGACTCACTACAGCACCAGAAATTTTCAAAATTGTTAGCACGTACTCTATGAAGCAGCAGTATTACTTGTGCCACTGCTAAATCTCATTTTTTAATGCAAAGCTCAAAAAAACATTTATTGGAAAACAGGTTTGTAACCCTGGTAGACCAAATGACTTGCTGCTATCTAGAAAAGAGGCTTCCTTTCTGGGACTTGTATGTTTCCATGTACTTGTATACTGAAGTTGGGTATACCAATGCCAAAAACAACTAGCCTGTTTGATTGTTAGTTGGGGGAATGAAAATCCACCAATTCATTATTGATATCACGTAACCAAAAAATATTGGTTGATTATTGATTCACCTAATTTTCAACTAGCTGCTAAGGCATCTGGAAGGAAGACACCACTCCAGAATGTACATAAGAAATGTGAAACAGGAAAATGCTTAAAAGTAACTAACAAAAGTCTCTCACATCCTCCAACATCAATTATATAAATAAAAGAGCAATTACTCTCAAGTTCTCTTTGATTGCTTTGTAGGCAATGAATAATTCTTCACCAGTGGCTACCAATCTCAGCCTTTCCCCTTTCAGTAAAAATCTTTGTGTGGACTTAAATTCAAATTTTCTACAACACAAATACATCATCAGATTGCTCCAGGGGCCCTGCAGACATTTTCTTAGTAGCAGAAGAACACAACTAATGCCCCACTTACTAGGTGTTTGAGGATGAAAAGTCACTAGTCTGAAGACTCACTACAGCACCAGAAATTTTCAAAATTGTTAGCACGTACTCTATGAAGCAGCAGTATTGATAGTGTGTGTTGAATCATATTTACTGTTTGCATTCTAGCTACTTCCAAAAGTATTTGAAGTGGTTTAGATAACAGACACATATTCTTTTCAATCATTAAAATAAGGATGAAATATCAAACACATGTACTTGAGCAGGGGGAAGATTATTATACCAGAAACCCAGACTAAAGAGAGTTACTATAATTAAATCCTAAATTTTGCTTTATATTTTTCTAGCAGCAAGGAGGAAATATGGTGAAATGAAATATGTAATTCTCATTCATTAAAATAGAAACAAATTTTTTTCCCTGGCACTAAAATATAAAAGAAAATTATTACATGAATCATTATATAAAGAACAATTAAACGATAATAGGCAACTTTTCAAGCAATTTTAAAGATGCAAACATGATCTTCATGTGAACACTTCTTCTATTAAACCTTAAGAGTATTTGTTAATGAATAATTATATGAAGGCATGTCTCCAGAGAAGTAAACTAATGTAGCCAAGGTATGTGATTTTCTGATGTTGTAACCTGATGTTCAAATAGACCCTGGAAAATCTAAAACATTGGATGATTAGAAATTCTGTTAGATTACCTTTCTCAGATATAAAATATCATGGCTGTGCTTTGAGACAACTCAAAACTGATGAGTGTATCTGTAGTTCTACTAATGCCTGAAATCAGACCAAATGCTTTCAGTAACAGAAATGCAGGGAGCAAAATACCATTTGGTTATGAAAACCAAAGAGCAGCACAGAGGGTCTCAATCATGGTCCCAGCCCTGCCCATGGCCCCTGAAGACACCTTTGCTAAAGTACTTGTACCACATGTACCTGGCCAAAGCTAACTGGCCTCGGGGGAGTCACCTGACTTAAAGGCCAACAAGTCACAAGTTGATTAAATGTATGACATGACTTGGCTTGAACACATAAAGTCATCCACTCTGATTCTCTCCCTTCATCATCAAAGCCAAGAAATACTGCAACTGGCAATTAACTGTGAAAACAGCCACTGAAATAGCATGATATAGATACAAACCAGGATTCATGTTGCTCCACATGTAAAACAAAGAAAGAGAGAAAGGCAAGACAAACAGAAGCTCTGAGGTAGAGAAGTACACTTATTTGGAGCTAAAGATGAGAAAACTGAGCAGAAAGGTTAAGCAGCAGATTTGCAGAGGGGGCTGAGGCACTCAGTTTCGAAGCTCTAGAATGCAGAATCATCCACCTATCTCTAGTCTATGGGCCCTGCCTTTCCTATCTGGTTCTTCTGTTTTTCTTGGTTTCCTGTGTACATGTACCCTTAAAATAAATAGTGAATTACCTGAGGTAATACTCTAAGCCATTCTTTCTGCACCCAAAGAGGATACATTGAAATACATTGCTTTGTTTATTAAAAGAAACCTGTATCTCTGCAACAGATGGATTGCAAGGGTTCACTTGGCCAAAGGTAAATTGTCCATAAGCATCATCTCCTTAGTGGCCTGGACACACTGAAATCAGCCAAGGTCCCAATTTTTTGCCATGAATTACAAAACAAACAACTTTGATCTGAGAGAAATATTTCAAAGCAAGTATTAGCACTGTTCAGTCTTCGGGGGGGAAAATGTGGGGTGGGGGAGTAGAGAGGAATGCTAGTAGACTTCTTTTGAGTATCTGATTTTAAGCTTCTTAGCCACAGCCAGCTGAGATGGTTAGCTGCAGATGGGTTAGTCCTAGATAATCCCAGACATTTTTTACTATAGTCCATCTGAATATTGAAAAATGTCAACCCAAAACAGCAATTTTGATTTGGAAGAACTAAAGGAAAGGAAAAAAGATGACGGAGGTAACTAAAGACATATTTTCTGAAAACAGACAGCCTGAGCTTGAATCCCAGCTCCCAAATGTGTTAGATGTGGAACTTTAATGAGTTTCACCATCTGTAAAATGGGGTAACTATAGTACCACCCTCAGGGAGTGGCTATGAGTTTTAAATGAAATGATCTATAGAGATCACCTAGCACACTGCCTGGCACATAGTAGATCCTTGATAAATCTGAGTGCCTAATACCAGCCCCTTCCTCTTAGGGAAAGTTTCAAAGGAGCTGAATCAAAAGGCAAAACATACTTAGGGAAGGCAGATCATACTGATATGGTGGCATGAAAATATCTGGGAATTAAATGCATAGTTTTGAAGAACTAAAATTCCAAGAGTTTGGTTGAGGATAAAAAAGTTATTTTATGATGTGAAGATTCAAATGTCTATTCAAATATCAGGCATCCTGTAGGAAAATACCTATTTTAAAAATACAAACTAAAACAACAAAATTTTTTAAACCACCTTCTATTATTATTTTCATACTCACTATTACTGGGGCTAGGTTTTTGTAAAGTTGCTTCAGTAGAATTTAACTTCTAAAATAAAGACCCCAATCTGAACATCACCTGTAGCTGACACTCTCAGTATCTCACCCTAATCTCTATTCACAGACTACTGGCTGCATCTGCATCACTGTGCTAGCAGGCATTTTGCAGGGTCAACGTGCTACGATGCACCATGTGGCAGAACAGAGGTGCTAGGAACAAATACCCTTGGGAGCAGCATTCAACCAAAGACCCTTGGGAGTCTGTGTATAAATACCTCCAGCTTCCTCATTCTTCAGACAGGATAACCCAAAGGCAAGTGTTTTACTGCACTTCTGAGAGTTTCCCACTGCAGAAGCCCCAGTCACCCCCAGTGATGGCAGAGTCAGTAACACATCCCTATCGGTTATCTTTTCCTCTCACTATTACCTTTCCATTCTGTCCTCCACTGATGTTCCTGCATCTCTCAAATAAACTACTTGTCCTTGAAACCTTGTCTCAGGAGGAACCTAAATTAGGGCGACATCTCTGCAGGTATCTTTTCCTTATTAAGCAATCTAAAGAGTCCAAGAGAACAGTTAAAGCTCCCCACCTGCCTTCTACATTGATTCTGTTTTTTCTCTTCTTCCCCATAGATTTGCCAAACTGCAGAAAAGATGTCTTGTCAAGGCTCTCCGAGCCTAAGAACTGGGAAGCCTCCAGTGAGTCTGTGATGAAAAACACCGGCGTGGCTCTGCAAGAGGCAGCCTCACTTTTTCACAGGTACTATCCCCAGGGACAGAGACAAAGCTCAATGATTGCTGTTCGTCTCACTCTCCAGTACAAAGTGGCTGGATCGTCTTTGCCGAGGTATGTTTTCCCATGGTGAGCATTGCCAGGCAATTAGGTTCTTGCTCTCTCCAAATTTCAGCAGAAGCAGAGAAGCGTTATTTTTAACTGTGCAGGAAAGCATTGCCATGGTAACATAATGAACTCTAAGAGCCATTTGATTGATTGATGATGCTGTGGAAGAGGAGGATTGACAGGAGAGACAGTGGGAAAAAAAAATCATACAGCTTTATCACCCTGGGCTGAGTTTATAGATCCTGGTTATTAGACACTAATAGTATATAGTATCTGTTTACTCTTATGCGAAAGGAAACATGGATGCTTTCCTACTCTGGTCCCTGAAAGCAAAATGATAAAGAAAGAAACTAGTCAACCGACCATCAGGGAAGTGAGCTGGTCTCACAGATTTAAGAGATAGGAGACAAATGTAGCTGAAAGAGCATATTTGCTAGGCAGACGAGGCACAGTGAGCATGCAGACACCCCACCCACGAGGCCCTTGACTGGGAACGTTCCTACTCCTTACCCCCAGCACATTTCACTTTCAACCGTCCTCTCCTTTCATCTTCTTCTTTGTAGCGGGGATAACATATTTGAATAATCCTCTAGGTATTTTCTCTCTTGGAAAATCAAACCTCTTTTCTTACTGCCCACACACTGTTTTCAGCCCCAGGAAAGGTAAAGGAGCATGCCACTAGGGAAGAAGGAGGAGCATCAGACAAGAAAGGAATGTGGAAAGCTTTTCTGGTAGTGCAGGGAGAAAGTTCTAGAGCCGCAGTTCTCAAAATAATTCAGATTCTCCTGTGGGTCCTCAAGATCCTTTCAGACCTCCATGAGATCAAAACTATTTTCATGATCCTATTAAGACATTATTTGCCTTTTTCACTCTCGCTCTTTCAAGAGGTACAGGGTTTTCTCGAGGCTATGCAACATATAATATCACAATAGTTTGAATGCTTCAGTGCATATATTCTGCTAGATACATGTTTAAAATCAAGCTGTCTTCTATGAAGCTAGATATTGAGATTTGAAAATAAATGTAAAACCATTTTTCTTACCAGTTTTGAGGGAAAATGTAGTTACTCTTTATTTTAAAAATGTAATTCATATTAATCAGTAATAAGCTTATTACTGTTATTGTTAAATAGAATAATAAATATTTAAATTTTTCATTTTAATTTCTAATTTAGTGAATATCCATAGATATAACCCACTCAGGTAGAAGCATTTTGGGGTCTCAATAATTTTTCAGAGTATAAAGGGCTCCCTAAGACCAAATATTTTGAGAACTATTCAGAAGATAAATATATCACTAAGCTCCCTGAGAAATAACTCTAACCTCTGCCCACTTTGGACCTCAGCCCAAGATGGACTGGAGGAATTAAAGAATATCTGCCTACTTGGGTGAAGCCTAGGGTTGCTGGAAGCAACATGGGAGAAGTTTTGGGAGAAGATGCACACTCATTCTGGCACCAAGATCACAAGGTTTGGGAACAGGAAAGCCACCGTTGGGGGAGGCTCCAGATACAAGAGCCCGAGTTAGCACTTCCACTTCTGACTGTCCACAGTGTGGGGTATGAAGGGATTGAGAAGAACCTGGGTGCCCCATCCGGGGTAGGGGGAAGTGATTGAAGAGCTGGAATCAGCCTAAGGTAGGGCAGAAAGGACATAGACCATGGTGCTCGGCCCCAAGCCTTGGGCAGGAACCATCCCCTTCCACCAATGGACACAGGACACCCTTCAGCAGCAGCGGCATGGGATGCCCCATGAGCCAATAGGGCCAGGGCCTGCTCCACAGGAGGCTGCACAAGACCCAAAAGCCAGAGACCAAGCTGCCACTACCACAGATTTAGGTGTTATTCTCACCCAAGCACCATCTGGAGGAGAGAGGGCAAGGAAAACACTTTGAGAAGCTGAAACAACTCCTCTGGAAAGCTTTGCTCACAAAGGACTATTTTTTGCTGGAGGATACCAAGTTACCAGATTTAGGCAAATTTAAAGTGTTTTTCCACATCAGTTGAAAACTTTTGTTCTGAACAATAAGATCAACCTTTAGGGTGGGGGTGGGTGGGTTACATATGAGTCAGGCAGATCTATACTTGTAATAGTACTGTTGCCCACAGTAATTAAGGAATATGCCCAAGGCCATAGAACTCTTTATGTGTCAGGGTCAAGATTTGAACCCACATATGTCAGGCTTCAAGGTATGCCCCTTTGCCTCTATCAATCAGTCTTCTCAGATAAAATATTTTAGAAGTGCTAGTCCAAAAGCTGTTTGCATCCCAATCTTCTCTGCCCTCTCTTACTCTTCCTTATGATACATGTCTCTCTTGTGCCCACACTCTTATGAGTCAATGATTGCAGACATATCAAAAACTGGGGAACAATCACACACAAAATTGTACTTAGATTATCATCTGCAAATAAAATGCAGAAGCTCTAGCAATGGAACCCCAGTTTAGATATTTTTTAATCAAATATTCTCTGAGAGTTCATGATGTTGTAGAGTTCATACTGAAGTCAAAGAATTGCTAAAATGCCTAGAACTTTACTAGGTATAATTTTAAATGATATTTAATTGAGCATGTACTATTTGCCAGGCACCCATCTAGTTACTTTCCACATATTATCTCATTTAATTCTTGCAACAACCCTGCTTGGCAGATTTTATTACCTCCTTTTTAGGGATGAGGAAACTGAAGCTCCAAGGGTTAAAATACTTTCTTATAGAAACATGGCTAGTAAATGCAAACTTGGGTCCATTTGATTCCACAGCTTAAATTCAATCTACTTGCAATGATTGTTTCACTGATATATAATAACACTGCTGCGAGCATGTGACTTGAAATTCATTAGATTTTTTATGTATATAAACATTTTCAGATTCCATGCATTGCCTCAGACAGAAAAATGCAACATGGAAATGATGCATTGGCCCTGGAATATGTTTTTTAAGTCAGAAACAAATTAATTTATCTGCTTCTATATTGTATGGATGCTTTCTCCTTTTAAAGTTCCCCTGGGTGTTGGAGGAATCAAAAACGTCATTTGCAAGCCAGTTTTCTTGGTTACCATCCTACTAGCTTTTGGTGCCTCCTGGCATTTTTCTTTTCCAAGACAATAGTGAAATAACTTAAATATTAAACCATAAATTGTACCAAATTCTGCAATTCAGAACTGAAATATACTTCAGGCTTTTTTAATGGAAATTTTTAAATACTGAAATGCAATTCATTACCCAAATGGGAATATGGGTCTGAATTTGTCTACTCCTTCCCTAGTGCCTGGGGAACATGTGACATCAGGTTTCACTGAGGAACACCAGAGGAAAGGAGATAGAATCTCATAATCAGAATGAACTTTTCAAAGGCATGCAGCCAGCATGTATGCATTGATCATAAGCCCCAAAACATTTTAAGTGAATAAAACATAATGCAGAGCAGTGAGTTTGGTATGCTACCATCTGTGCTTTAAAAAAAAAAAATACAGGGTTGAGATAAAATATTTGCAAAACGGATCACAGACTGAAACATGAAATGCAAAACTATAAAACTCCTAGAAGATAACACAGGAGAAAACCTTGAAGACCTTGGGTATGGTGATGACTTTTTAGATACAATACCAAAGGTGCAACCCATGAAAGAAATAATTAATAATCTGGACACAATTAAAATTAAAAACTTCTGCTCTGCTGAAGACAATGTCAAATGAATGAGAAAACAAGCCATAAACTGGGAGAAAACATTTACAAAAGATACATCTGACAAAGTATCACTATGCAAAATAGACAAAGAATTCTTAAATCTTAATAAAAAATGAAATACTTGATTTAACAAAGGGCAAAAGTTTGATGAAGTACTTCACCAAAGAAGATATACAGATGGCAAAGAAACATATGAAATGAAGCTTAGTGTTATAGGTCATTAAGATAATACAAATTAAAACAATGAAATATCACTACACACCTACTAGAATTCCAAAAATCCAGAAGAGAAACAATACCAAATGCTGCTTTAAAAAAAAGTGGGACAAGAAGAATTCTCATTCATTGCTGGTGGGAATGCAAAATGGTACAGCCTTTGGAAGACAGTTTGGCGTTTTCTTATAAGATTAAATATAGTCTTACCATGCAATCCAGCAATCACACTCCTTGATATTTACCCCAGTGAGTTGAAAACTTATGTCCAAACAAAAGCCTGCATACAGATGTTTATTAACAGCTTTACTTATAATTGCCAAAACTTGGAAACAATGAAGATATCCTTCATTGGTGATGGGTAAATAAAATGTAATACCTCCAGACAATGGAATATCATTCAGGGCTAAAAAGAAATGAGCTATCAACCCATGACAAGATATGGAGGATAAATGCAAACGAAAGAAGCCAGTCAAAAAAAAGCTACATAATGTATGATTCCAACCATATATCATCTGCAATAGGCAAAACTGTAGAGACAGTAAAACAATCAGTGGTTGCTAAAGGTTGAGGGTAGGAAAGAATAGTCAGAGGACAGAGGATTTCTAGGGCAGTGAAAATACCCTGTATGATACCATAATGATGTATACATGTCCCCTCTCATGTGTGGCCACTGGCTGATTCTTAACTGGGGTGACAGGAAAGAGTAGGCCATGTATTTCTCATCACTCAGCAGGCTAGCCTGGCTTGTTTACATGGCAGAAGCATGAACCCAAGTGAAAGTGTGAGGGGCTTATGAAGTCTAGGCTTAGAACTGTTTAACTATTATTTCTGCCACATTCTTTACAGGCCAAAGCAAATCATAAGGCTTGATTCCAAGGGTGTAGAAATAGACTTCACCTCTTGATAGGAGGAGCTGCATGGTCAAATTGCAAAATATATGGAAACATGGACAAGGTTAAAAGATTGGGGACATTTTTTAATCGATCTCCACACAAGCAATTCTCTATACTGGTCTTTATAAAAGAGCTCTAGTTAATACAGACCCCACTTACTGCTCTTCCTATAAGCCTAACCAAAGATAGACATTAACTTGAAAGGGAAGCCACAAAGAAAAGTTTTGGCTAGCACTGATATTATAGTTGACTAGTTTTTTTTTTCCCTTACTCCTAGTACTGCTAAGCCACCTGAATTCATGTAGCAGAACTTTTTACTCCTAGTTCAGAACCTTACATATATAGAGGAAGAAAAAAAAAACTTTTTCCTCTAACTTTTTAGATTCAGTAGTGAGGCCTGCAAATTAAACTGACAAAAAGCAGATTAACAGAAGAAAAGGTTTACATATTTTATTGATGTTGGTATTTCTTATTGTATGTGCATAGGGGAGGAAGGGTCACAGGAAATGAAAACTCCAAAGAAGCAATTCGACACAGAAGTTTATATACAATTTTAACAAGGGGTGGTAAAATTGTACAGAAGTGACAATTGCAGAGAAGGAAAGGGGTTTGGGATTGGAGCAATTAATTGTGGAAAGATAAATAAATATGAGGAAACTAAAGGTAAATAAGGGTTGTTTAGTAAGTTTGTTATGCAGACACAGGTTGGTATCCTCGCCAGTGATAAGAGTTGCCTAAAATGATTAAGAATCATTCTTCTCTTCCTGGTACAGGAAAGGATGACACCTTTAAAAATGGAAATTGATGTTACCTTTGCAAGAGGGAAATTTATGCCTTGCTTTTAAAC